GGGCTAATGATGGCAGGGCTAATGATGGCAGGGCTAATGATGGCAGGGCTAATGATGGCAGGGCTAATGATGGCAGGGCTAATGATGGCAGGGCTAATGATGGCAGGGCTAATGATGGCAGGGCTAATGATGGCAGGGCTAATGATGGCAGGGCTAATGATGGCAGGGCTAATGATGGCAGGGCTAATGATGGCAGGGCTAATGATGGCAGGGCTAATGATGGCAGGGCTAATGATGGCAGGGCTAATGATGGCAGGGCTAATGATGGCAGGGCTAATGATGGCAGGGCTAATGATGGCAGGGCTAATGATGGCAGGGCTAATGATGGCAGGGCTAATGATGGCAGGGCTAATGATAGCAGGGCTTATTTCATTCAGGATGTGATGGGTAGCCTAATTGATTGTAAAAAAGTTTCTCAATTACACTTGGAAGTATCACCTTAAAGGAGAATACAAAAAAATGAGAAAAAATTTCATCTCTTACTGATCGAAAACAATCGCGCCACTCTCTCAACCAATAAGATTCAAAACTAAAACCAATTGCAACTTGGTCACTCGTGTTTTCTCACGCTTGTTTTCACTTGAGTTCTAATTGGTTCCTTGTCATATTTTCTTCTCTTCTGATTTGCAGTTGTGATTACTTTGGGTTCGGTTTTACGACACAATAGAAATCTGCTCGAAACCGATTTATGAAATTTTCCCACTTCCCACCCTACCTGAAATGCCTCAGCAATCGACCATTTATAGCACTTCTGCCACCCCCTGGGGGTGCACAAGCAGCTAGAAGCGTCACGTCATGAACTTCTTTCCACTGAAGTTTCTTAGAGTCATAGAATCCCCGAGAATCCAGAAACTGACGAAGCAACTCGAGTGGGGGCTGGGACTGGTACGCATCAGGTTGAGGTATATTGAGGTCGTCAACAAAGAGGAGAACCTGTCGTAGGAGGCAATGGCATTTATTAAATTACTTGCCTCGCGTGCTTAGAAGCCGGAACATTAATATCGAGTATGGCTCGAGGCAACTGCCTTTCACTTTTAATTTCCCACATCTCACGAGACGCTTTAACTGCAGGATCAACAACGGCATTAAAAGCTAATCAGACGAACTGTCAGTCCGCTCCAAGATAAACGTAAATTCATCGAGCATCTATAGTTCTTTGACCACTGCCTGAAATTTCCCACTACCCTTTTGCCTACTACACGCTTTGACTTTAAGAACAAGAGAGTAAAAATGAAAGACAGCCCAAATTTGTAACATACGAACCTTCTTTCCTGGTCTCGGTCCCACGACGTCCCTTCCTCTCTTCACTAACTTGGACTCGATAAACTTCTGCGCCTTTGAAGAACTTGTATAAGCCGAAAAAAGCATAGAGTTGAACACTACCTCGGAGCTGCGTCTTTCACCCTTCACCCCTTCAGCGTCTGTAATATCCATAATGCTGTCCACCAAAGTCATCCCTCCTGTTCGAAACACTGCACCTAGGATGGTCCCCGTACTAGTTCCACTCCCACCCGGTTGGGACAACCGGACCAACGTGTCTTGGATCAGTGCACTTTTCCCAACACCAGTTTCGCCGGTTAGCAAAACCGGCCGTCCGTTTAACGCTAACAACGAAAGGAGAAAAGCGTATCGGACCGTGTCAACGGTTGGTACGAGGGAACGATCGATGTCAAGTTGATTTTTCATCGGTGGAGGATCGTCTAGAGTGTTAAGAGTATCCGAGATGGCAAATTGACTCGACACTGCCTTTGCTATCAATGCGCGAGTCGAAGGAACAAGATTGCTCCACAGGGAAAACTGTCCGCTCTCCATGTCAATGTAGTAATTAGCCATGCTCTCGTTTCCAGGCGGCAATCGAACACCGATCGGAGAGTCGATATCAAACAAATCACGGGTCATTGTATCAAACAATTCCCAAATTCGAGGACTGTCCTTTGCAAAGGCATCTTCATATTCTTCATCTTCGACAACAGTTTCATACCGAAGATTTCCCCCAAACGCCCAGGTATATGCGAAAACATATACTTTTCCGAGAAAGCTTAAAAGTTGGGAAGGATTGCGTTGGATGAAAGACACTTTCCGAATAGGGTTGATTTCGTGTTCGGAGTTATCAGCGAACGTGACGGTTTTAGCCGAAGTCGTTTCCGACAGCTCTGCTCCATCTTCGGCAGTATTCGGAACCTCACCAGCAATGAGACCGCCCTGGCTATTCATGATTTCTAAAAAACCGGTGATTATGCTGCAGAGAGTAGAAACAATGCTAAGATCCGGTGCTGTGATGTGTTGTACATTTTTGTAGTTGGAAAGGAAGCGCAGTCCTGTGTCTACACTGTGTTCAAATAACTGGAGAAGATGAATGAAAACCTCTCCAGGGAGCTGGTCAAAACATAGGGAAAAAATCGCATGATTAATAATAAATAATGAGGAAATCTCGCTGAAATCCAATAAAAACAGAAAGATACCCTCTTCGCAAGTGGTTCGGTCTACCCTTTCGACCGGCGCCCCGCGCTTTAACCACTACACCTCACGCACACAGTACAAAAAAAAAAAGTATCCGAAACATCACCGAAGAATAACTTTCCCTCTCTCTCTGACATGAATGCTTTCAGTGTAGTTGGCTTACCTTTGTTTGCTCTTTCAGCCTTTGGATCCATGTTTTTACGTACGGTTTCCAACCTAGATCCTTAGGTTCCTGTTGGCAGGTTGGAAGTTCGATATAAGGGCATTGAAAGATATATTAATTCCAAATTGTTTTGAAGCTAAAATTAAATCATTCATCACCAATTATGAGTTCAATAATGATGGCAGACCAAATCTGAAATACGTTCAAAGTAGTTGTGAACACTGCACATCAAATCGGATCGCAGCGTTGCACTTTGTTCAGAAGCAATGTTGATTGAAAAAGAGAAAGAAGCAGATTCCTACCATGTACACCATTCCACAGCGACTGACTGTTGCAGGAGATGCCATGGCCAAATTATCAACCTCAAATAAAATCCTCATCCCGTGACCCATTCCTATCCTCTCACCATTGGCAAGACACAACACCTGTCACGCAACATAAGTGCGTCATTTAGTTTAACGTCACCCATTGTTTGCCAAATTATCAACTTCAAATAAAATCCTCATCCCGTGACCCATTCCTATCCTCTCCCCATTGGCAAGGCACAACACCTGTCACGCAACATAAGTGCTTCATTCAGTTTAATGTCACGCATTGTTTGCATAGGGTAAAAGAGAGACACTGGGAACGAGGTTTCACTCACAAGTCTTCAAAGAAGTTATTACCTTTGTGTCATCCAACACGGTGTTGAGGTTTTCAATCCAGAGTGTATCCACAGGTCCGTCCATCACAATCCAGTGCCAAGAAATGGGCGTCTCCGCTCTGTTCATGTTACTAGCGTCTTCTGTCACGGTCGCTGTTTCAACTTGCAAAGAAACAATTTGATGGTTTTTAAGAAAGTGTTCGGAAAATTACCCGAACTAGATTTAGTTGTTTTAAAAATTTTGAGAGATTTTCGAGCTAAAACCAAAGTAATCACTACAGCCAAAGACAACAAGGAAATATGAAAAGGAACCAATTAGGACTCGAAGTAAACACGCGCATTCCCCTTAGGAGCACAGAAAAATACACAACGAATGAAAACTCGAAGTAAATGTAGCGTTACCCTTGCGTTACTTGGTTTTTTTAGTCACGTCACAAGTCATGCGCAGTAAGCATA